CTGAACAAATTGTTTGCCGAACTAAAACAAGTGCTAATTGACACAGTTGCACAACAACAATCCACATTATTACGAGATGTCATCAGACAAACAGTGTTGGATGCTTTCAATCAACAACAGAGTTCAACAGAGACTGCTCCTCTTCCTCCTCCTTCTTCTACTACTACCAGAGTGACACATCAACGAAAACCTATCATTATCACTACCAGTCGTGAAGTTAAAATTGCTGCTGATCTTAAGAGGACACGTATTGATGCTGCTTTTCGACAACAACGGGATGCTGTCGTTGCTCATAAACGATTACGTGATATCGTTCAACAATGGTCATCGATAGAATCAATGGCTGATCTTGCTATCGAGATCAAAAAATACGGGACAAACGATTTAGAATGTGCATGGTTACTCTTCTGTTGGATAGGTCAAAATATCCAATATCAACCATATTGTAATAACAATGCTGCTGAGACTGTTTTTCGTGCAAAGCAAGGTGTTTGTCGAGGGTTTGCTAGTCTCTATCATGAATGTTGCTCATTATTAGATATTGAATGTGCTGAAATATCAGGTTATGCTAAACAAGGTTTTCTTAAACCGGGTGAAGAACTCAAACAGTCGTCTCACGCTTGGAATAGCATTGTGCTCGATCAGTACACTTATCTAGTTGATCCGACATGGGGCGCAGGAGGCAGAGATTATGAAAAGAAACTTGAAGATTTCTACTTTCTTACATCACCTGAAGAATTCATCTATACACACTATGTCAACGGATATCAATTACTCGAGCCAGAAATCAGCAAAGAAGAATTTCTTAGTTTGCCCGTAATGAAATCAACCTACTATCAACTCGGTTTGAAATTGCTATCACCAAAGCAAGGTTTAAATGAGACAAATCAAAATCTATTTAAAATTGCAATTCGAACACCGGCACATGTTGATCTATTTGCTGAGTTAAAAGTTGGAGATGTTGCATATCCACGTAGTTTGCATACATTATGTCAACGAGATGAAAAAAAACCCGATGTTTACAATTGCTACATTGCTCCACCTCTCGATGGCTTTTACGAAGTGGCTATCTTTGCAAAAACGAATAATGAAACTATGTATACAGATGCAATCAATATGCGTTTGCGTGTGTCAAATATAGCTGACGCATTCATGTTTCCAATCACATATGCAACTTTTACAGAACACAGCTGCATTTTGATCGAGCCTTTTCAACGTCTTGTAGATGAAAATGAACAAGTACTAATTCATATGATAATACCCAAAGCTAATGTGATTAAAATTCGAAACGGTGACGAATACATGGTGCCTCATCCAGATGAATACAAGAATGGTGTATTGAAAAAACAAATACGGGTGCAGGGCGATCTTCAAGTTTGCGGTCGATGGGATGATAAAGCCGATTCGATTGCAATTATTTGTATTTTTAACATGATTTGAATTTTATATGCTTGAGAACTGTGAAAATGATTTCAAATTTTTGGATTATCGACTAACTGAACTAAAATCGCGTTGCATTAAATAATGCATGCATAGATCGCTTCAAAAGAAAGTATTCAACATGATCGAATGGGAATGGAACATTTCGCACCACCTTTTCATTACGATCACCGGTAGCAGATGTTCGTTACGATCTCCGGACATAATAAAACTAAGACAGCGTGTTCGGAATTAGATGTACAGGAGTTCGGAATGACAAAATCAATCAAAAATTTAAAAAAACAGGGTGTTCGTAATGAAAGTTGTCCAGGACAAAAATCATTTCCGAACACCCGGACACATGACAGGAGTTCGGAACGACTTAGTGCGAAATATCCGTCACCAGATCGAATTAGCACGAAAGATGTATCATTGGTATTGGTTGAGGGAAGTGCATATCAAGGTTTAATTAAGATAAACTATTTTCATTCTGTAAACAATTATCAATGCCAGAATTTAATGTGAGTTGGTGTAAGACGAATATCTCGCGAACAACAATAGATAGCGATCTGTGGTTTTCACCATTTCGAAAGAGGCTGAGTTAGAACATGTTTTTATAAGATACGATGCAAGATGAAATGATTATCTAACCAATCTGTTGTTTTGGAAATCTTTCCGAAACATGTATACTAATGCGCTGTATTTCTAATCAAGTTTTAATCCTGACATGCATATTAGATATGAGAGACTGCAGGCCTATAGTTTTGTCAAATTTTCATCGAAACAAGAAGCCACTTTGATAAAATGTAAAAAACTTGATTAACAATCAATGCGATTTCCTATTATTATAACACGTATACAGCGTATTGTTACACATTTTTCGGAAGGATTTCCAAAACAACAGATTGGTTAGATAATCATTTCGCCTTGCATCATATTTTTTTGAAAACACTTTTTAACTCGGCTTCTTTCGAATGGTGGAAACCACAGATCGCTATCTATTGTTGTTCTCGAGATATTCGTCTTACACCAACCCACATTTAACTCTGGACCTGACAATAGTTTGAATCGAATCCATCGACGTTCAAATTCTAAATAATGGCACTTACTATCTTTGGGTAGTATGTCACTTAAGAAGCTATTCATTTGATATGTGTCTTGTGATCTTATTTATATGTGTGTTGACATTTCTGGGTGTTAACATGAACGCTCATGTTGGCTGATCGCAGTATTGACAGAAGACGTGTTTATACTGATATCTTTATCAACTCAGCCTGACTGTCACTATTCTTTGCAAGCTGGACCAGTAATTGAAAGGAAATTATGCTTACTATTTTTCTGCTGCCAAAAATCCATCAATCATAACTTTTTTTCCCGTCAGTAAAACGACAAACAATTGTGCGTGTTAATTGATTCTTTTCAAAACTCATAGATGGAATTCACGATAAATATTAAACAATCGTCGATGTTCCTTTATTCAAATCTGTGCTGTTTTTATATTGAGATTAAAAGGGATTCGATTATGATCGAGCTAGTTACTATAAATGGTTCCTTTATCCAATTCACGCCACAACTATATTAGTAAAGGAATACTGTGAATATTCAGTAAATAAACAAGTGATGTCTCACTGTTCCTTCATACTCTTGTTGCTAGCATTGAGGCTCCTGAGGTTTTTTTGTATCACTAGCGACAACAGAGAGATTCTTTTTCAAAGAAATTTGAACACCATTTGATCAACTTTACGCATCTCTTCAAAACCCAGTGACAAAGGCACTCTTTCACAAGAATTCCAATGATTGAATTCACTGTCAAGTTTGACATTACTGCAGAGAACCGTACACAGAAACTTAAATGTAAAGGTCGTAGTATAAAATGATACGAAATCGGCAAAGCTAGAGTTGCTTACGGATTCTCAACAGAACTATTAGAATCATTGACTACGAATATTTATCGAACTACAATTGTTGTTTGTCTTGACAACATCAATCGTCAGTGAGCGAACGTAGAAAGAAAGAAAACCGAGAAGAAAACAATCGACAAGCCCACTATGGTTGAATTAATGTAACATTGCATTATTCAATAAACATATGTGATTGTCATCACAATTACGATGATGACTCAAAACATTTCATGCTTAGTGAACCGTATCTATGAACATTCATTTTTCCGATCTCTGAGTCCATTGGTTTGAACTCGACATTAAATACATGATTATAACAACAATAAGTATTTATCGTCGAAACGGAATTCACTTTCTTTCTCTTGAATCATATGAAGATTAAGTAGAAATTCTGTGTGATGATCATTGTGAAGTTAATAATGCAACAAGAGCTATTCCTTTTATCTCTCGATGACTATGTTCTAATTGAAGCATTGCACAAAGTCGGTAGAAGATTCGATAAGAATGTGGTCAAATATCGTAATGATCGATCTTTTCCCATGAAGACTTATTGTGACGCATACTAGCATACACGCAACTTTTACCAATGGCCTGACTCAATCTCATGCGTGGATGACGAGAAACAATAAACGATCTCATTATTTAGACCATCATCTTTGAGACTCAATATTCTACTGCAATTGCGCTTGGAAAAAAAAGTAGATTCTATACTTTTTTTATCAACATGATGTTGGATAAATTGGACGAAATTCATTGTGTAGCACTTGTCATTGATTGTTCAACACTAAAAACAACGATAAATCCATTGGCAACAACCAAAAAATGAACAAGTGCAAATGCTTCATCGCCGTCGGATTAAAGATGAATTTTATAAAAATTGGTTGAAGTTGTGCTGTCAATATAAATCAAGAGAATGTAAAGTTAGTAAAACAGGTGAAGACGCCAATAATAAAAAATATGTAAAATCATGATTTTTTATTTATCAATATTTTGAGTCAACACAAGTAGGGTTTGAAATTTAAGAAGACTTTTCTTAAAAGTTGCGCAAACTAGAGAGTATCTGGCTTATGTTTTTTGTGGTCTTTCAAACCAGTTAACTCATCTCAACAACTAAAGTTTTTAGCAACTAGGTTTGATGATGGTGCTAAGAGTCCTCTCTTAAGTCTTGTATGAGCAGTTGAAAATCACTTCAATTATACAATTGATATACATTTTACGTTGAAAAGTCGTCGAGAACATTCACGTGAAATATTTTGCCTATGCCCAATGCTCAATAATTCAAAACGACTGGAGTTTTTTACCGAGAGTATACCATTGAGTTTGTTCAAAGTCTGCATTGTAGTTGGCATCAATATTTATATTAGTTTCTCTACGGTTGACTATTCATATATTCTACTGATTATGACTTGTATACTCCAGCTAAATTAAAAACCGTTAGTATCGAAAATAAACCATAAAGATTTCATTCAAATAGTCAGAGAGTTTTTTGTTAGTTTATTATAAGTTTCATTTTCTTTTCGTAAGTATTATGAATGTTCATACTTTCGTCTTTTTTTTTCTTAAATTGAACCATCATAATTATTTATTTCACTGCTGAAAACATTCGTAGAACTAAAATTGATGATAATTGACAAGTGCGCGAAATATTACGTTTCTTCTTTTCATTTTTTTTTGCTATAAATGAGTGTCAGTGGAGGCCATAAACGGCGTTCACGTAGCTCTTTTGTATCAGTTCGCTATATACCAACCGATGAAGAAGAAGAACTTCATCGTCAAACTGAGTCACAAAATTTACGAGTCTCCTTATATCAAATTAAAAATATTGAAACAATTCTTAAGTAAGTTCTTTTGCATAATAATATAAGCTCAATGGATAATGAATCAAAAGTATAGTCTTGTCGAAAACTTCAATCGACATTTACATTTAACATTGATGGTGGATCGATTTCATTCAAGTTATCAAGAATATTATTTAGCATTATCACAAGCTTTAAGAGGTTAATTAAATAGTGAAAAACATAAGATCATTCTAGTTTTTAGATATTCTTGCTAAAAATTGGATTCGTACACAACAATTTTATCAAATGATAGGTGGTAAACGAGTATATTATCTTAGGTAGGTTTGTTTCCAATATGTCGTATTCAACAGATTATTTCTTTTAAGTTTAGAGTTTTATATTGGACGTTATATGAGAAATACATTGATTAATCTTGATATTAATGAACAAATGACACAAGCAGCGGAAGCACTTAATATTAAATTAAATGATATTGAAGAACTCGAAGATGATGCTGCATTAGGCAATGGTGGTCTTGGTCGTTTAGCAGCTTGTTTTCTTGATTCAATGGCTACATTGGGTATACCATCCTATGGATACGGACTAAGATATCAATTTGGAATATTTAAACAACAAATTGTAGACGGGTAAATCGAAGTTCATTGATAATTTTAATCTGACTTTTTCATTTTTTTTTTTTGAAAGACTAAAAGTTTCTTTTTATTTAGTTGGCAAGTAGAAGTACCAGATGATTGGCTTCGACAACCCATGCCTTGGGAAGTAACTAATTGTTATCATGAGTATGAATTAATAAAAGTGAATTTACATAGATTCGACGAGTTGAAAATGAAATTCGTATTCATTTTTATGGAAAAGTTATTTGGAATCAATCCATTAATAATTTTCAATGGACGGACTATGAAACAGTAATTGCTCAAGGTAGATAATTGAAAAATCTTTTTTATCATAGTCATTTAAAAAAAAGTTGATTTTTCTAGCTTATGATTATCCTGTACCTGGTTATAAAAACAACGTGAGAATATGATGATTGCTATATTTTATTTTTTATTAACAAAGAGCCATCTCCATCTATTACAGATTGTCAATACGATGCGTCTATTTTCTGCTAAAGCTGATTGTGATTTTAATTTTAAATCATTCAATGAAGGTGAATATATACATGCAGTAATGGAACGTAATAAAGCTGAACGTAAAAACTTTTGTTTTTGCTTTTTACTCATGTCGTAATAGATTTTATTGTTAAAAATAGGTATTACTTGTGTATTGTATCCTAATGATAATATTGCTGAAGGACGTGAATTACGTTTAAAACAAGAATATTTCTTAATTGCAGCTAGTTTACATGATATTTTACGTCGATTTAAAGGTGAAAAACGTTGGCAAATATCATCAAATAAAGAAACAAAAAGTAATATTTTACAATTACCAGGAGCTAAGTTAAATCAAAACCCAGTGTCATCTGTATCTATTGATTTTAAATGTATGCCTGACATGGTATAAAGCGAAAAATAATTAATTTTTTATTTTTAATATTAAACATTTTCTGTTAGGTAGCTATTCAATTAAATGATACGCATCCATCATTAGCTATACCTGAAATGATGCGCCTTCTTCTTGATAGTGAACATTTATCATGGGATGATGCATGGTATATAACAGTCAATTGTTTTGCATATACAAATCACACATTAATGCCTGAAGCAATCGAGCGATGGCCAGTTCAAATGATTGAAAGTTCGTTTACAATGAATAATATATATGATAGAATGTGGGAGTGTGAGTATCGGCGTCTGTACAGAGAAGAATCACATCTACACTCTATATAAGGAAATGAACAAACTAATACAACATTTGATTGCTAATCTTGATATATTTCTCACGAGGGAACCACCCGAGGTGTCAAAAAGCTTTTGAGCTGAAATTTTGCCCACAAGTAGTGAATGCATAGACTAGATAAAGCCTAAAAGGATATGGGCCCAAGTTGGGATTTGACCGAGATATCGACTATTTACCATAATTTTCCTGTAGGATCCTACTTGTCCGATAAAATCAAAGTTTTGAATTTAGGCCTGAAACTTTGTCCACACCAAGACCCCAATTAGACAAGCTTGTCTACAAAGTTTCAGAACTCTGGGATAGACTATCTCCGAGATACTAGTATGTTAGCATAAAGACGCTTTTTAATGGATATAATGTTGCACATAGATATTTTGGCAGATTCATATCTCGGAGATGGTCTATCCAAGAGTTCTGAAACTTTATAGGCGAGCTTGTCTGATTGGGGTCTTGGTGTGGACAAAGTTTCAGGCCTAAATTCAAAACTTTGATTTTATCGGACAAGTAGGGTACTATAGGAAAATTATGGTAAATAGTCAATATCTCAGTCAAATCCCAACTTGGACCCACATCCTTTTAGACTTTTTCTAGTCTATGTACCCCCTACTTGTGGGCAAAATTTCAGCTCAAAACCTTTTTGACACCTCGGGTGGTTCCCTCGTCAGAAAAAAATATTTCAAATCTATCGATACTCAAATGTCATGTTACCAACTACTAGCTATTGGGATTTCATAAGAGTCGGTTATAAGTAATCCTGAAAAGTGAGATCGAAATTTCGATATGAAAAATCTTTAGTCTAAACTGAAATTAACTTCTAATATCTGACTAACTTTTCGTGAGCATAATAAGATCATTTCAACATAATTCAAGACTCCCATCGTACGATGAGAAAGTATTCACGCAATATTTTGAACTGGAATTTCGACAACGACTAGAAATTTGTCAGTTGAAGATTTTCAGGCTCATATCTCTTGATCATTATAACCACGGAAATCATGAAAAACGAACCCAATAGGACAGCTTTAGTACTTCAAAATCGACAAAAAATCAGTCACTGGTAAATATTGAACCGGATCAGACTGGCTATCGACCAATCCAGTTCCAAATATGATATAGATCGACAAAAAACAAAGCAAAATTCAATATTACAAAAAGAATAATATCCTATTTCTAATACTTGTTCGCTGCGTTTAGAAAATAGTTAGACTATTTTAAAAGAATTTTTTCAGAAACGAATTAATCGATGAAAACAATCAATTTTCACGACATTTATTATAAAACAGTATTTCGCGACTTATTTAGAACTTCTTCCACGTCATTTACAAATAATCTATGAAATAAATGAACGACATTTAAAAAATGTACGAGATCATTTTTCATTTGATGAAGATCGTATTCGACGAATGTCTATTATTGAAGAAGGACCAATACAATTAATAAATATGGCTTATTTATCAATAATTGGCTCACATACTGTCAATGGTGTTGCACAACTTCATTCGAAACTTTTACGTGAATCTATGTTTAAAGATTTTTATGAATTAACACCAGAAAAATTTCAAAATAAAACAAATGGTGTTACGTTTCGTCGATGGCTTGCTCTTTGTAATCCTGATCTATTTTCATTAATTGTTGAATGTATAGGTGAACAATTTGTTCGCAATGATTATCAATCACTTCATCTTTTTCGTCAGTATGCTTTAAATAAAAATATTCTTTCACGTGTTCAACAAATTAAAGTAATCAAAATATTGTTATTTCAATTTAAGAAAAAAAAAATTGTTTTTTCTTTGATTACATTAGATTAAAAATAAATTACGATTAGCTCATATGCTTGAAGATGAATATAATATTGAAGTTAATATTGAATCAATATTTGATGTACAAATCAAACGAATTCATGAATATAAAAGAGCACTACTTTGTTTACTTCATGGTGAATTTGATTTTAAGATAATTTTTTTTATTCTGAACATAATTTTTTTTCCTAGCTATTACACTTTACAATCGACTTAAAAAAGATCGAGGAGAAAATAAACAAGATCCATTTGTACCACGAACTATTATTATTGGTGGCAAAGCTGCACCTGGTTAAAATCCATGATATTTATTGTTGTTTTGCATGATCATGTTTTTTTTTCTTTTTCTTTTATAGGTTATGCAATTGCTAAAAAAATTATCAAGTTGATTAATGATGTTGCATTAGTAATCAATAATGATACACATATTGGCAATCGATTAAAATTATTATTTGTAAAAAATTATCGAGTAACAGCAGCTGAATATATTATTCCAGCTGCTGATCTTTCAGAACAAATATCATTAGCAGGAACAGAAGCGAGTGGCACAGGCAATATGAAATGTATATTGAAAAATCCTTTTTTTTTCTAAAAGAAAACAAATTAATTTTGTATTTTTAAGTTATGCTCAATGGTGCATTAACTATAGGAACATTAGATGGAGCAAATATTGAAATGCGTGAAGAATGTGGAGTGGAAAATATGTATACATTTGGATTGACTGTTGAAGAAGTACAACAACGACGACAACAAGGTTATGATCCATATGAAAATTTGAAAAATGAAGAATTACGTCTTGCTATTGATCAAATACGTGATGGATATTTTTCACCTGATGATCGATCACGTTTTCATGATATTATTGGTACATTATTAACAGGTGGAGATCATTGGATGGTGTTAGCTGATTATCAAGCTTATATTGATAAACAATGTGAAGTATCACGAGATTTTCTTAATCCTCAAATATGGTATTCAAAGTGTATTCATAATATTGCAGCAGCTGCTAAATTTTCATCAGATCGAACGATTGAAGAATATGCAAAAGATATTTGGTTAGATTGCTATGTTATATTATTTAGAAAAAAAACACCCTGATGCATATGTGTATGTTTATAGGCATTGTACAATGCATAAAAATGGAAGACCAGATCATATCAAAGAAGAATGTTCGACAGCGAAGCATGAAGAACTTTTACGTCGTACAAGCAGTGATTCACTTACTTGATCTAATGTATTTGAAGGACCATCGTCAATATTAAAAGATGTCTCTATTGAAAAAATTGAAAGTAACCACCATAAGAAAAAGCTACTCTAAGGGAAAGCGAACTAAAAACAGATAAACATCTCTTTTTTTCATGACAGATGATGTTCTAGAATGAATTATTTTCAACATATATATATATAATACTTGAAATTTGTACAATGGTAAGCAAAATATTGTAAGTATCATTCAAAATTGATATAAACACATACACGCTATGTCAAGTTTAACTGAATCTATAATTACTTTGATAGCAGCTACAATTTCGTTTCTATATATTCGAGAAAACTAGGATGATTTTCAAGTACTGAACGTTGTAAAGTACTCAGTGCACGTTCATTTGAATAGACACCTATCGTGTTATATACTGTAACAATACTGGTGTAAGATGCAACGAAATCGGAACTGGTTGGTGAGAGAGTCTTTTCGTCAATTTCAATGGACTGCTTGTAATAGGAAACGTTGCTTGTGCAAGTAGGATATCATATACTTCTTGAGCTTTGTCGTATTGTCCAAGTTTAATTAGTAACATATCCAAACGATCCCATCCTTCAAGCTGAGGATAGGTCTCTTTGCGTATCTATCCACTGAGTGCTTGTAATTCTGGATCATTATCACTGATCAATGTTAAATTAACTTGTCAAAGACGATTATTTCCATCAATTTATTGCATTGGTCCAATACGAAAAGTGGAATGCATGGAGAAGAGAATTTCTTCTTCTCCTTCGAAGTAACTGACATTATGGACATAGGCTAATGATGTTGACTCAATCGATAGATCAATTTGCATGACGAATAAAATACTAACAAGATTGGACGATTCCATAATTTCACGAACAAAGTTGAGGAATACTTGACCATGCATACTAGTCGATAAAAAATTATTAAATGATAAAAGTCCACCTTTACTTTTATTCAATTGTACAAAGTCGGCCCTGGACAGTCTTTGATCACAATAAACAGTGAATAGACTTGAACTTGTTTGTTCAGTAAACTGTTGAGCATGAAGCTTTGTGCTATGATTATGGCGATCGCGAATAAAAAATCCCATGTTGATGATAAGACAGACCTCCATCATTCGTAATGATCAATTCAGCATTGAATAAAGAAAATATTGATTTGTATACCACCAAATCGGAAGATGGTTACAGTATTCTTGTTTGAGTTTCTTCACATTTTCCAGTTCTTTTGGATTCATGACGACTAATTCACGACAATAACTGGTGAAGTCATTGATGTGTTTTTGGTGAAAATCAATGGTTAATAAAATTTCTTTCATTATTTGTGTATACATGAAGAATGAACCCAATTGATCGAGATTTTGTTTGGTAATTGCACTGCTGGTTGTGACAAAACTGATCGAAATCATGTTTTTGGTCATATTCTTTTGCTGTTCATTGAAGAGTTCAACAGATAGGAGCAATATTTGTAAAGACTCCTTTTATTTTTGGCATATATTTGGCCCACTGTTCATGCCGAGCTTGTTTTCCATAAAAGACATAAATTGAAGTAACTTGAGACATGTCATGTATGATGGGAACTGGGGTTTGTCGCAATGCATCGAAAGTGATCATAAACATTTTGTCTTGTTTGAGATCACTGATAAAATTAATACATTCTTCGACATCCGTGAATGTATTAACCTTGTTGACTACTTCTTTTAATTTTAAAGTGATATGTTTGCGGTAGTTGTTGTTATTTGGATCGATGTTGCTATCGAGTCAGACAAGTAGATAGTTCTGAACCATACAAGCATAAGAAGATCGCCGTGGCCTTATGCTTGTGTGTTCCGATGGTGTAGCAGCAATTATTGTTATTACTGTTGGTTGCGCTTTTTGTTCATGGGATATGTGATCTTTCATTAATGAAAAAAGAATAAGAAAATATCTTGAATTTATATAGTATGTTAGAATTTTTTTCAGACGCTTCTATTTGTTTTTTTATTTCTGTTGTCATTTGAGTGGTTTTTTTACTTTTGTTTTATTCGAGTACTTCACTTCTTGCTTCATCGAGATCGAAATTGATGAGAAATATTCTGATCAGAAATGGGTCCAGAGTAATAACACGGAATCTAGAAAGGCCTAAGGGTCGCTCAGACCCTTGTATTCGGAATCAGGGCAATGAACTGCATATAATCATGTCTGTTTCTACAAAAAAATCATTTATCACTTGGTGGACTTTCCTCATTAGCCGAAATATTTTTCCGTGAATCTTATTATCTTTGCGTTGTTCCATCAACTGTTCATTTGTGAAGTAAGAAGAATGCAACCACAAATGATATTGGTGCATGAAATGGTAGAAACTAGCTTTTGAATATTGTGTCTCTTAGTAATTATCATTGGAATAAACCTAGTTACTTTATACTGTTGTGATTTCATCTGTCCAGTTGACCATATACTTGCCGCCATTGGCGAAGCTCATTTTATGATTTTTTTTTCATTTTTCTGGTCATCTTTCGTATCTCCTTGATAGTGATTCTTCAATATTATGTTATAATGTACTTCTAATCGAGATCATAATATTTCAACGTGTGAATGCAATGAAGCAATTTCTGACATTTATTACTATTCTTATCTAACTAGATATAGTGTTAGATGAATTTATTATTGCATTGGCTATAATAAATGAAGATAGTTATGATTCAATACGCTTAATGATTTCTCGTGAATATCTAATATTTTGCAGCGATTGATTGGAAAAGTCACACCAACTCGAAATTGAAGGCGTGACGTAGGATATGGATATTGATGTGAGCCATTTTTCCTACCACATAAACATACCTGAAGACAATTTTATTGCTGATTATCTTATCAAATATTTATTAAATTGATTATATGAATTTGTTATTGTTCATGCTTTAATAAAGCAATGTAACTCAAGATTCAGGCTTGCATATGTACTTCATATATAGATAAACGATTTCTTTCTCGTAATCGATCTCAATGCTAACTTTTATGTATGAATATAACTGTGTTTGTCACATTGTAATCAAATTATTATAACGACTTTATTACTAGATCTTAGAGTGTTTTTCCTTGAAAACGATTTCGCATTCGTTTATGTCCTGAAATAATTCTTACTATTTTTTTTGCATTTTATACATGCGAATAATGATCATTTCCTTCTCAGCTCTTATTTATTCTAATTTTTTTATACAAAAAAAAGACATTAACACCATACAAACAAGAAAAACAAAAAAAAAGTTAAGATTTCCATAATTTCAATGTTCCATCTTCTGAAAATGTTGCTATTAAATTTTGATGTGGATGATGAGTAATTCCAATCACATCTTTTTCATGAATCTAGATTACAAAAGTAAAACAAAAATTGAAAACTATTTCAGTCAACAATTATTTCAATACTTACTGATAAAACTTTTTCAAGTTTACCAGTTTGTACACTAAAACAATATAGCATCATATCTTCACCACAACAATAAATCCATTCACCACGTGGTGATACACAACAACAAATAAAATCACCATTTTCTTTTTTACCGTTTGTAAAACTTCTCACAATCTATTGTGAACAATAATAAAAACAAATTGAATTGATATAATTCATACATACTTGTCCTTGCATATTCATAATAACAACAGTATTACTTCTATTACATACAACAAATTGTTCAGGATTTTTTGCTAATAAATGAACACTATTAACCGTTATATCTGTACTTCCAAATGATTTAAATGTTGCTGTACATTCAGATGTTTTTATACTCCAAAATTTAACTGAACCATCTGAACTTGCACTAATAATTAAGAAAAATGATTAATTATTATCTAAAATTAAATCATTATTCAACAAACCTCAAAACATGATGACTATCTGCTGTAAATATTGCATTATTTACAAATGAAACATGTCCACGAAATTCTTTTATAACTTTACCAGATTTTAATCCATGTATTCTAGAAATAATTCGTAAATTAAAAATATTAATAAATTCAACAAAAGAAATCTTTTACCGAATAAAATGATCAAACGATGCACTTAATAATTGTGTACTATCTTTTGAAAATGCCAAACTTGTTACACCTTTTAAATGTGCTTTATCAAATTTTCGTAAACATTGACCAGTTAATACTTTCCAAATCTATGTTAATTATTGTTGTTTTTCTTTTTTTTATTTCAATTTATTTCAAAAACAAAAAATAAACAATACTTACTTTAATTTGTCCATCTTGACTACCTGATGCTAACATTTCTGAATCTCGACTAAAACATAATGCTAAAACAGCACCATCCATAACCATAAATTGTTCTTGAGCTTGATATTTAAGATCTTTACGAATTTTTCCTGTTGTAAAATTCCATACTTCAATTATGCCATCGAATGAACCAGTTACAAGATATTGACCATCAGGTGAAAAACGTGCACATTCAACATGAGCTTTAGCAGCAAACTATAACGAAAGAGAAATATATGTCTATATGATAAAGAACATAAAGCGAAACGAACTTTCATCACACGACTTAATTGACTTGGATATTTTTCTTCTTCTTGTTCACGTACTTGAGCTTTGCCACGAAATAAATCAATTGAAGTACCTAAAAGAAAAATCGAATAAATTTTTTGAAACATTAAAATTTAAATATACCAGGTGGTAAAAGTCCTTGATGTTGTTGCCATTTCAATGCTTGACCCAAAAGAGCAAGTAAACGTGAAGCAGGTACAACACTAACTTCACCTGAAAGTGCAGTAGCAATAGCTTGACGACGTTTTTCTTTATTCTGTCCTTCAGCATATGCCTAATGAATAGATTAATTACTTAATAAATATTATTTTCTCAATCAAATATCCTACTTCTCTTGGATCAAAATAAGATCGTGTAAGTAAATCTTCTAAATGTACATAACGATCTGGTTGTTGTTGTTTAAGCATTATCATTGGATCTGTTTGACGTAATAATGTACGTGCTGCTCCTAATTCACGTAATTCAATTAATTCAATAACAATC